AACCTTCCCGTCATAAAACGAGGGTGACACGGTGGCCCATGGAGTGCCAAAGGCAGGGACGCCCCGTTTCCAAAATCTGGAAAGCCTAGTGCAAAACCCAGGTCCGATCGGTCTCATGCTGCTCTCAGTCAGCCTCCGTCCTGGACACTGAGCAGCCAGGCGGCTGAAGCTGCCTCTGAGCCGGGCGCCGACCTCCCCCTGCTCTCCCCGGGGACGGGCATCTTTCCTGGGGCTGCTCTCTGGGTGGGCCCTGCCCCGACTTCACAAGAAAACCAGTTCTTCTCACTGGACATGCAATCCCTGCCCCTCCCGGAGGCTTCTCCATGAGCGTGGCCGTCCCTCCATGAGAAGGGGACCGGGTGATCAATCCACATCCCCAACTGTAGCCCTGCCTTCCGGTCCCTGGCTCCCAGGCTCTGCCGGGACACTGGCTTCTGGAGTGCTCCCTGCCTTACCACAGCCACGTGGAGGGGAAGGTGGGAAGGCAGGTTGTTAAAAAAGAAAGATTTCCTCTAGAAATGGGTCAGCTAACGTGTCTGTAAGATCCAGGCAGTAATTATTTTAGGCTTTGCAGGCCAAACCGTTTCTGTTGTAACTATAATAGTTATGCAGCCACAGTGCTTCCTAACAAGGGAGTGTGGCTGTGTTCCAATAAAACTTTATTTACAAAACAGGCTGCCTTTGGCCTGAAGGCTGCAGTTTGTGGCCCCCTGACCTAGACCACCCCTCAAACCCCAGCGTCCAGCGCTCAGCTCACACCGCCCACACTGTGCTCTGGCAATGTACCCTGCGTACCTGTCTGTGGCCCCCGTGGCTTCTGGGACAGACTCTGCCTAGCTGGTGGCAGCACAGAACAGGGTTTCAATGTCTATCTGGGGAGAAAGTGTGTGTGTGGTGAAGGGGGAGATGATGTTCACAGCAGACAACCTCACTGAGCATGTCTAGCCTCTTGGCAAAGTGCTCCGGGGTCCACGTGGGAAAAGAAGTCTTTGCTGCCGACAGGCAGCACCCGAGGACAGCAGCCCGGCTTACCATGTCCGTCCTCATTACAATGCAAACCCATGGATACGTTCTGACGTCAGGGCTGCACCCCAGAAGGCAGTGCCCCCAGAACCGCCTGCAGTCAGGGAGCCCTGCCCGTCACAGCCCCACCACCATTCCCTTCTGCCTCCTTCCATGAGGAGGAGAGAAAACTCCCTTGCTGCTGAAAAACACAAGTGTCCCTCTCGGCCTATGCAGCACCGTTAGGTGACGTCAGCGGCTCAGGCATCTGGGCTCTGTGTTCCCCCTCTTCCCAGAGCAGCAGCTGATCCAGGGCAGTAATGACGTTTCTATTTAGAGCCTCAGAAAACAAGAGGTGGTCCCTCAATTCTGCATCCTGAGTCCTGTGCTCCGGGCTTGCCTGCTTTCCCTGTGAGGCAGGGAGCTCACAGGCGGCAGGAGGACATGCGATTCCACTCAAGCTGACCAACAGCCTGAGGGCCTGCTATGTGCCAGGCAGCCTGGGCAAACAGAGACAAGCACGTCCCAGCGACCCCACACGAAGAGAGAGGGCAGGGAGGCACCCACATGGCCATGATGATGGTGGGATGATACACGGCAAAGCAGGGACTTTGGGGCTTGCGGATGGAGAGCTTTCTTGGGCGGGACCGCAGGCCCGGAGAAAGAGGGCACATGAAGCGGCAGGGAGCCCGGTCACGGTGACTGGGTGTCCCATTCCTCAAGGAGAGAGAGAGGAGGGGGAGGAGCGGGGCTAGGCTGGTGAAGCTGTGCGTGGCTGCGGACATGAGTTGTAAGGCTCTTCCTGCCAGGGACAGTCAGTATTAGCGCAGCTTCACAGCCCACACAGGCTGGTGTGTGGGGCCTGGGCTCAGTCGTTTGTAAAGAACCATCACGATTTCCTGTGCTCCTCTTCCCTCTTCCTGGGTCACCTCCCACATTATCTCATTCTCCCTCCTGGGATGTCTAAACTTTGCTGTTGAGAGGATTTTTTTTTTTTTTTCCTATGAAAGTCATTTCCCTTCCTTTTCCCAGAGGTCTCCAAGGCCTTGCCTCTTTGCATGACTATGTGGTATTTAGTGAAAATCTCCTGGTTCCAGATAACATGCTTAGTGCCTAAGAAGGCATTTTTATGTTGAACTAAATTTCATGAAAAAGCACATGATCACGTTGGCTATTCTAGAATAGTTTACTAGGATAGCCAAGTGAATATTGAGAAAGAAGAACAAAGCTGGAGGCATCATACTTCCTGATTTCAAGCTATATTACAAAACGATAGAATCAAAGCAGTATGGTATTGGCATAAAAACACAGAAATCAATGGAACAGAATAGAGGGCCCATAAATGAAGCCATATAAATATGATCCATTAATTCATGACTAAGGGGCCAAGACTATACAATGGAGAAAGGGAGTCTCTTCAATAAGTCATGCTGGGAACACTGGCCAGCCACATGCAGAAGAATGAAACTGGGCCACTCCTATCCAAACACAAAGGCAATCAAGTGGATTAAAGACTTGAACAGAAGTCTTGAACTACAAAACTCCTAAAGAAAACAGGAAAGAAACTCCTTTACGTTGGTCTTGGTGATGATTTTTTTTAATGTAATACCCAAAGCACAGACAAAAACAAAAATAAATAAGTGGGACTGAACCAAACTAAAAAGCCTCTGCACAGCAAAGGAAACCATCAACAAAACGAACAGAAAGTCTACTACCACATGGGAAAAAGAAATTTCAAACCATTTACCTGGTAAAGGGCTAATAGACAAAATATGTGGAAAAAAACTTCATCAAACTCAACAGCAAAAATAACGCCCCGAACAATCTGATTAAACAAAGGCCAGAGGATCTGAACACATTGGCGCTTGAGCAACAAAGGGGTTTTCCTGCACAGTACAAAACCTAGGCATAAATTAAAACAGCCCCCCACATCCATGCATTCCCAACCAGGGGTGGAAAAACATTAGACGTTTTCCCTCTAAGACATACAAATGGCCAACTGATGTATGAAATGGTGTTCAACACAACTGATCGTCAGGAAAATGCAAATGAGAACTACGAGGGATCAACTCATACCCGTTAGAATGGCTACTAAGACATTTCTTGTCAAAAGGATGTGTGGAAAGGTAACCCTTGTGTATTGTTGGTAAGAATGTAAACTGATGCAGCCACTACAGGAAACAATAGGGAGGTTCCTCCAAAAGTTAAAAATAGAACTACGGTATGATCCAGCAATTCCACTTCTGGATATTTACCCAAAGGAAACGATAAATGTTCATCACAGCATTAATTATACAATACCAAAGACATAGAAATAACCCAAGTGTCCTTCAACAGATGACTAAAGAAAATGTAGAGTGTGTGTGTGTGTGTGTACACCCCCACACACACACACAGCAAGTCCCCACTTAACAGTGCCGATAGGTTCTACGCCTTTAAGAGGAACATCATCTAACAAAACAAATTTTACCATCAGCTAATTGATATAAATAACTGTTAAGCTCCTGCAGTATCTCAGCAACATTATTATGAAACAACATTGAACAAAACAACATTATTCAAGGACCTGTATACGTAATAAATATTACTTTGCCGTAACATAGAAGGAAATCTTGCCACTTGCTACAACATGGATGGACACTGAGGACATTATCCTAAGTGAAATGGGTCACAGAAAGACAAATATCATATAACTTGCACGTGAAATCTAAAAAAACAAAAAACAAAAAACAACAAAAAAAACACAACAAAACCGAACTCATACATACAGAGAATAGGTTGGTGGTTTCCCGAGGTGGGTGGCAGATGAAAGGATGAAGAAGATCAGAAGGTACAAACTTCCTATTATAAGAGAAGTACTTCGTGGGATTGTGATGTACAGCATGGAAACTATAGTTAACAATACTATCGTGTACATTTGAGAGTTGTTAAAAGAGTAGGCATTTAAAGTTCTCATCACAAGAACAAAATTCGTAACTACATGTGGTGACCAACACTTAGTAGGGGATCATTCCGCAATATACTCAACTGTCCATGGGTACCTTCAGTGGGCCCGTCCCAACTCACAGCCCTGCGCAGGCTCCTCACTCTGCCCACTGCCCTTTGGGGGACCCCCTCCTCACTGGGAGGAGCCCAGGCATCTTTGGGTCCTGGGGTCCCCACTTTACTTCTTTGCCTGGCTAGGTTTCACCTTCTGATCCCACATTTGACAAGTTTCCACGTCCCACTAGCATGGATTGTGCCCCAAAGTCCTTCATGTCCTTTAGCTATAATATACTGTCCCTCCTTTTAAAATTCTCATCTATGTCAAAGGCTACGTGGTATGTTTTAAAAAATAGATGGCGAGCGATGGTTGAGTATTTTTCAATCAACAAACTTTAAAGCATGAAGTGAAAATACACATAATCCAGTATTAGAAGTATAAATCAAAAAGAAAAAAAAAAAACCCATGTTGTCCTCTATGATAAAGGTCTCTACAAAGAAAGGTTCTTAAAAAAGCAACTGATTAAAATTCTTCTCCTGCAGAAGAACACTCAAATGGATTGTTCTGCATGATGTAATGGTTTTGAAAAAAACCACAGTACTAACTTGGAATGATTCTTGTTTTTGATATAAACTTGTAGGGGTGAAGTGTTCAAACACATCGATACTTTTTATTTGCTTAAGAAATTAAGATAGAAAAACAAAACAGTTTTTACTTGGAGGAAGAAACTTTGGCCTTCTACCAAAGGTTATTCGTCTCAAGTTGCCCAGCCACAAGTTAAATCCTAAGTCCTGTGCATCACTCAGACGGTAGCACAGGCTTGCAAGGGAATTTTTTTTTTTTTTTTTTTTTTTTTTTTTTTTTTTTACCATCTGCCAAAGGAGCCTAATTTTCCCATAAACCTTCTTAATTGGCAACGACAATTAGAAATGGAGAAAGACAAGCAGAGAGCAGTGGTGAGAAGGTAATGCGCGGCCAAGCTGACAGAGCAAACGAAGCAAGCTGGGTACCGTACCTGCTTATTATTGTCAGCGGTACAACACAGCTTCTTGAGGGAGACAAAATGCCTAATTTTCCTAATAACACAAATAATTAGTTATTAGTGAGTCAGGTATAAGACGATCCAACAAATCAGCAAATGAAAACATCAACGGAAACTTTTTAAAAGCAAAACTCCAGGGGATATTCTAGGGCAGATGTACAATTCACCCAAAGCCCGGTCTACAGCAAAGGACTTCTCACACACAGCCCGCACATGTCTCCCGAAACTGGCTTCCTTTTACATCGCCGCTGGCTCCGAGACGTTTTCCTAACGAGCATTTCATTCTGTGACCGACTCCTAAAGCTTGGCTCCCAGTACCTGCCGTGATGGGATGAAATGCCACCCCAGAAAAAATTGGCTTTATTCTGCTGACGCCAATACTTTTATAGCTTATATAGAAAGCAAAAGGCTCATTTGGATAATGGTCAAATTGCAGGGCAGCTATTTTTATATTTAATCCCATTATTACTGCGCAGCATGGTCATCCTAACAATGGCATTTTTTCGGCCAGAGAAAAATCCTCGTACTCCAAGGTCATGGACAGAACCCCACAGCTGCCTGCGGTCTTGCTCATCACCACAGCACAGACCAGGAAGAGGCCACAGGTGCCTCAGCCCCTGCACAGAATTCAGCTCAGGGTAGGTTTCCTACTGAGCTGTGAAGCCAGGAATCCGAGGGCTGAGTTAGATTTCACAGCAATGTCTGCCCTTTTCTCTCTCCCTGGTTCTGTCTCTCTTTGTCTCCCCACCCCCCTGGTTTAGTTTTTTCTGGAGAACTCCGAGGAGAGCATAGAAAGTGCAGGTTATCCTGTAATGAATGTCATATAACAGAAAGAGGTAAAAACAAAAACAAACAAACAAAAAAAACCCCACCTCTGTACTTTTAATAAGAATTTCCCCTGACAGTTCACTGCCTGCAATGGGGCAGGAGAGGCAGTGGTGGTGAAATAACATGCTGTCTCCTTCTTATCTGCACAATCAGAAAGCCTCACTCTGACAGACATCGCCAAGCAGCGGCATGTCTCCTCGGCCCTGGTTACCTAATAATTCTGGTCACACACACACACAGTGGATGTTGGCTTCGATTTTCTGAAAGATGGCATAAGGATCATGATAACACCAGGACAGCCATGCGGCCGCTGAGCAGGGACCGCTGGGAGGGCCACGGAGGACCGTGCGCTTAGGAGAACGTCCCGGGGCCTCTCTCTGCTCTCAGGAGGGGGCCAAGGACTGCCAGTCACCCACCACCCACAGGGAGGCACGATGGTAGGAAGCACAAGACGGTGGCCTCTGAATAAACAGGGACACTTTTGAAACGAACCCAGAAAACCAGAGGGGAGACAACCAAGCGACATTTTGCTGACTACATGGACTGTTGTGTCTACTCCCACCATGACCTGCGAGGGACGGGGGCAGCCAGGGGCACAGGCAGGACTCTCCTCTCTGATTGGCACCGTAACCCCCACCTTTCCTTCCCCAAACTTCCCACAGCGGTGTGCAGCCCTCATACCCCGAGGCTGGTGCGACCCCCAGGCTGGCTGCCAAAGGCTCCTCAGGGACATGCTGATCGGGGAGCCTGTTTGGCTTCATAAACTCGGAATTAAAGGAGGAGGAAAAGGAATCGCATATTCACCTTCTCTCTCCCAGGGATAAGGCTTCTCTGGTAACAGATTAAATGGAATCAGATCAGCCTGAGCTTTGGATCAGGCACAACTTTCTCTCCGAAACCACGACCCCCAGGCCTTTCTCCCGAGTTGGAGCCAGGGGAGAAGCCAGCCCAGGCTGCTTTCAGGGAGAGAAGCCGCTCCCAGCGGTTTTGCTGTTGCCGTGGAGATGGACAGCTGGACCCAGAGCTCCCTCAGGGGGCAGTGGGCAGAGGGAACCACAACTCAGGGGGAGGGGCTCCTGGGCGATGCTCCATGAAGACCATGAGCGGCAGAGAAGACAAGAGCCGTGTCTGGGGGTTGCTGCCGGCTGCGCAGAGGTAGCCTTGGCCTAATGATGTAAGCCCAGCCCTCCTGTACCTGGGCCTCCCGCGTACCCTGCATTTCCACATGCCCACGCGGCCCTCCGGCTGGAAGAGTCCAAGGGTTTGCACTCACCCTCCTTGGCCGATCACAGGGGTGATCTTCACGTGCTGCTGGATGCTGTCCCCGGACTTCCGCTTGGCGTAGTAAACCCCTTGCCACTCCTGCATGGAGAGAGAGAGCTCTTAGGATCCTCCCACCGCCGAGGCAGCCGCCCCTCCTGCAGGGGCGTGTGATCCAACTGAGCAATTCATTCCCCCTCGCTTCCAGGCCCTTCCACAGAACACCACTCCGCTTGGGGTCCCGCTGTGTTCTGCCTCCGTGAGGCCTGTGGTCACAGTGCACGGACACAACAGGACCGACCGGCCACCATGGGCTGCCCTCCGGGGCTGGACGCCGGCCCTGCGGGAGGCGCTCCGCTCAGCCCTCTGGGTGCGGTGACACCAGGGCAAGGGGTTTTTCCGAGCTCTTCCTCAGCATCGTCCCAACAACCTGAGTCTGAGGTCATCATCCTTAATGGACAGCTGGGCACACGGAGGTTCGGAGATTCTAACTAAGGAGCTCCTGTGAGAAAGCGGAGGATGGGCAATGAAGCCCACCGCCCGTCTGTGATCCCGGGGGCCTCCAGCCTCGGCTTCTCAGGGTTAGCGGGCTCCTGGGTGTTTCCATGGAAGAGGCAGAGGGCGGGTGGTGATCCTTGCTGTCTCTGGACCTTGGGGAACTGGCTGGGATGAAGAACCTGGTGACCTGAAGCGATTTCTGGGAGGAGTGGTTAGATGGGAAGCTGGGCCTTTCCCCACTCCCTCTCCCACAGGCGGCTCACCGGCCCGCCCCGCACTCCGGGCCACCGGTGGGGCAGAATTCCGGTGGGTATTTTGGATTACTTGACAATGTCCTGTTTTTTTCTCAGTCTCATGGCCCAATTTTTAAAACATTAATTCTGGGCATCATATATCACTCAAACTTACTTTATGTGTGTACAATGGCCCCCCATTAAACGAAAACAATGCTTATCTAACTACTTCGGATCCGAGAAAGCAAGAGGAAAGCAGTAACATGTGAGAAAGCACCCGAGTGCTCAGGAGGAAATGCAGAGGCCGTTCTGGCTGCGACAGCAGCGCGCCCAACGGGGAGGGCTGGGGAGAGATGCTTCTGCGTTTGCATCACGGCCCTCATCTACGGGGACCAATGGGAGACGTCTCTCTATGAACTGGGATGATAGAGAACAGAAAAAAAGGAAAACTGGGCCTACGTGTGAATACTGACACCAAATACATCTAGTCCCCCAAACATGCACAAGCTGACACACATCAGCCTGTGGGCGGGACTGGGTGCAGAGGTGGGAGTGATGTTCCAGGCATGACAGGTGGGGCCTATTCAGGCACAGGATGACATTTCCTTAGACAAAACTGCCAGATTCTGTATCATCGTCTTAAGCCCCAGGTTTGCTTGATATCCAAAATTAACTCATGTTGCAAACATAAACATTTTTCATTTAATTGTATTATAGCATTGCTAGAGGCCCGATGCACTAAATTCGTGCAAGAGTAGGCCTTCCTTCCCCCTGCTGCTGACACCGGCTTCCCTCTGGCACCCCATACCCAAGCTTCCCTCGCAGCCCTGGCTTCTCCTGGAAGGTCTTCCGGAAGGACTGCAGTCTAATGAGCACATTAGGCTTCTATGGTTTATGGATGAAAGAAGCCAACCTTGAAGATGGGACACAAAGACCCACGCAGAAGAGCGTGCATGGGGAGGCGAGTGTGGGCTGTTGTCAGTGCCACCCACCTTGCCCTTCCTGATGCAGGTGTTGATGGTGTCCAGGAGGTCGGCCCGGTTCTTATCGCTTTTGGGCAGCTCGGCGAGTTCTTTCCCGAGGAGCTCGCTCTTGTGGTAGCCCATCATCCTCTCGAAGGCTGGGTTGACGTACTGTGAAGGGAGTGGCCACAGGTCAGTTTGGGGGCGCCTGAAGCAAGGCCTGCTGGGAGGCAGGGGAAGCTGCTGGGCCCTCTCAAAGCCCACAGCACAGAGGTCACGTTAGTTCCCTCACACTGAACATGCTCTGGGCAACCTCTTCTTCCTCCTCGCTCTGTGTCATCCTCAGAGGGCTGGTAGGTTTTTATTTATTTTAATTTTTAAAAAATATATTTTTATTGATTTCAGAGAGGAAGTGAGAGGGAGAGGGAGAAGGAGAAGGAGAGAGATAGAAACATCAATGAGAGAGAATCATTGATCGGCTGCCTCCTGCACACGCCCCACTGGGGATTGAGCCTGCAACCCAGACATATGCCCTTGACTGGAATCGAACCTGGGACCTTTCAATCTACAGGCCGATGCTCTATCCACTGAGCCAAGCCGGCTAGGGTGGGCTGGTAGGTTTTTAAAGGGGCCTGGCAAGGTCCCCCCTAAAAAAAACTGCAGTCTCCCCAGTCCAGACGCCCATCGTCCTTAGCCCTTTTGGTCCTGCTCATGGTGAAGGCTGGGAGGGGGTCGATATCGTGTGACAGCATCTCCGTGTACCGCTCCCGGAGGCATAGGGTTCCGTGCCACCATGTGCTCCCTGTGGATGCAGGCGCCATGAAAGTGCCATTGGCTACAAGTGGGGAAGTGAATAGAGAGCAGGGAGCCCCTTCTCCTCATCTCAGCGATCACCACCTGTTGTCCACTGTACACAGGAAGGTGCAAAGGGAAGATGTTTCACGAAGAGACCTGACTGTTCAAGTCTGGAGACAGGTGGGAGTGTTCTTGGTATAGAGCAGAAACGGGCCTGGTCCCTCTGTGGCCCAGGTCGCCGACCACGGGCAGGTGGGCCGGCAATAGGCAATGAGATGAGGACGCGTTCAGATCCATTTTGAAGATACACTCCCACAAATACAGCCGACGGGACACCTCATGGAAAGGCTTTGGAGTCAGAAAGACAGGGCTACATATTTTGGTTCCACTATTTATTACCAGAGTTTCCCTTGGGTGAGTTCCTTGATCTTGCTGGTCCTCAGTTTCCCTACCTGTATAGTGGGGCATCATGTCTCTTTCACAGGGTTACTGAATGGGAATGAGATACCTTATGAACAGGATGATGACCGGGCCTAGGCATGGTGGGTGCTGATGTCATTGGTTCAGAATGAGAGCAGGTGTGCCTGTGTGCAGGCGGCATTTGCAGGAGAGCAAATGTGGGCTCTGTCTGCCATGGGTCCACTGTGCTCAACACTGACTTTGGTCTCTACTGAGGAGAGTGAGTGTTCCTCACACTCAGTGCCTCTGCGCAAACCAACCGTGCCCGTCAGAGGAAAGCCTGCATTTCTGAGGATGTTTTAAGTATAAATGCCTTACTTTCCAACAAATACAACTAGGTAATTTCAACAAAGACTTGTCTGCTAACTATACACATTTCCTTAGGAAGCTGGCTTCAGTACATTAGAGGGCCTTATTATTAGAATACCAACTATAAATAAATGAACACCCTTAAAAATATTTTGTTCCTCAAAGAAACAGATTCCTAGATACACAGGACAAACTGGTGGCTGTCAGATGGGAGGGAGGCTGGGGACTGGGTAAAAAGGTGACGGATTAAGAAGTACAGATTGGGCCTAACTGGTTTGGCTCAGTGGATAGAATGTTGGCCTAAGGCTCGATTCCGGCGAAGGGCACATGCTCAGGTTGCAGTCTCGATTCACAGTAGGCGGCATGCAGGAGGCAGATTAATGATTCTATATCATTGTTGATGTTTCTCTCTCTCCCTCTCTGAAATCAATAATTAAAAAAAAGGTATAGACTGGTAGTTAAAACAATCACAGGGATTACTGTACAGCATAGGGAATTTAGTAATGTTGTAATATCTGTGCATAATGTCAGGTGGCAGTACACTTATGAGGAATCGTTTTGTACATCATGTAAATATCTAACTAAAATATTAAATGTCAACCATAACTGACAAATTAAAAAAGAAAGTATTTTGTTCCCATAAGCTCTTATAAGCCTTTACTCTATAATCCTGATACACTTCTGTGTAAATGCTATCTTCACAGATGGTCCAAAGAATTTAGCCAACCTCCAACGAAATTACAGGCTCTGATTTGAGTACAATTTTATTCTTATTAAATATCTAATTCTTAGCGTAAGTCTATAAGGTTTTTGAAAACATTTAAAAAAATCTTTATGTTTAAAGAATTACATTTGTCCCCTTTATTCTCCTGTTAGCCCCTGGGAAAACTAATAGGCCTCCCTCTCAGTTTTCTTTGAATATTTTGGTGTTCCTTTCTCCAAAGGAAACATGCTAAAGTGTGAGAATTAAAGTGCTTGAAAAAGGGTGGCTCAAACTTAAAAGATTCTACTTCGACATCTAAAGATTAAAAAAAAAATGTCCCCATACCTGAATCACATGCTCATCGCTTGTTATTTCTATGGCTTCATGACAGTGGTCTAATGCTGTAAACACTGAATTACAAGCCCTGAAAGTTGCAAAAGATCAATGTTAGTTCTACCATAAAACCATTTAATTTACCCAAGTAAACAGTTCCTCAGGCTCATTAAAGCAATGCACCTTCTGATATTGCTTTGAGAAAAAATAATAACACCTAGGCTTTCAAACTAAATGAATAAACAACAGCATATATTTTCATGTATGTGATACAAAGAGAAGAATTATAAGCAGCAAAATATTCATGGGTCATAAAATGAACTACAGCCTGGCTAATGTGCTCAGTGGTTGAGCATCAATCCATGGACAAGAAGTCACTGGTTAGATTCCTGGCCAGGGCACATGCCTGGGTTTCAGTCTTCATCCCAAGTCCGGGAGAAGGGGGCAGAGTGCAGGAGGCACCTATTGATATTCATGCATTGATTTTTCTGTCTCTTTCCCCCTCTCTCTTCTTCTATCTCTCTAAAATAAAAATATATATATTTAAAAAATAAACTGAACTACATATATGCTGAATGGAACCTTAGTACCGACACAGGAGAACAAAGGTGCAAGGGACCATCTTCTAGGTTACTCTGTTCTACACCCACAATGCTTTCTCTCCTTGACCTCTGAAGTTCCTATCAGTTAAGAAAACACACTTAAGCCCAGATTGGATCTGAGGCATTCTGGCCTCTTGCAATAAGCACAAAAGCTTTATCTCCTTTTTTTGTGACCTGAAATACACAAGCCTTTCTAGTGCTTTGCTTTTACCCATGCCCACCAGCCTGCTGTAAGGCAGACATGACAGGATGCCCCTCGCCTGGGTGATGGTACAGGTACAGTTCTCGGGGCGGGGGGGGGGGGGGGGGGGCAGAAGCAGTTTTCTTGGTGACCTTGGCTGGTTATCCAGAATATCTGAAATCATTTCAATTTCTCAATTCTTGGAAAGAATTTTAACTCTTCCAAATCTAGAGCAACTCCAAATACAATTAAGTTACTATCTAACAGCAAGTATGTGACTAGTTCCTAAAGTTCTGTTATTTGCACTGGCTGTTAAAAGAATACCAGGGAAGGCTTTTTTATCAGTTACATAAAAGATGTTGATTTATGAGATAGATGTTCTGTAAAAGAAACTTTAAAAATGTTATTCATATTTTCCATGCAAAATGGCATCTAATGTTGCCATCCTGTTTTGAACTATTTGCCAGGCATAGGGCAGAACAGAGTGGGTGAAACCTGGTTCCGTGTTTTGCCTGTTTTAGGATCTCGGACAACTTTTTTATCTTTGCCGACTCTCAGTTTCCTCATCTATAAAATGAGGAAAACAATGCGTGTTTTATAGGCTGTTATAAGAATCAAAACAGTTTCAGGAGACATCTCTCAAAGCACTTGGGACGATATAAGAATTCAACGTATGGCACTTGTTATTTGTAAGATCCCAGAGTCAGATTTCTTGGTTCTCTAAGGCTTTCAAAGGCTGTTGGTGAAAGGGGAATCATAACCTATCTTATCTCATGGTTATCCCTGAAATATCAAACCAGGAACGGAAATAACAAAACACTAACCAGCAAGGTAACTTTCATGGGGAGAGAAGGATGTCAGCCCAATGAAAGACATGCTTCATAGTTGCAGAGATTGAGGTTGCCATTGGGCGTGAGGGTGAGTAAAATACGTAATTATGATGTGGGTGAATGGAGGAGAATGTAAACCGAACAGAGACTCCTGATGAGTGCAGTACGCTTTCTTACTGAAACTGCTCCAGGCTACCTAATTTGAACTACACACTGTCCCATTAGCATCTCTGCATGCTAATAAAACGTCACTTCAAATAAGAGAAAGAGAATAAACAGGACTTTAACGTTGTTACCCACACTGACACTGCACCGCCTCTCGTGAAGAAGCAAGTCTCAGGAGTATTTCCCAGGGGCCTGAGCAGAAACCACTCGGTACCACAGGAAAGCGGTCCCTGGTCCCCAGAAGTTAGACATCAAAGCGCGCGCTCCGAGGGCTAATTCCTCAGCTCTGAGAGGCGCAGAATGAAGCTCCAGCCCATTTTATGGGATAAATTCCTCCTCTGCCCAAGGGTTTCCTTAAAGTACCGATGTGTCTCAATGAGGTATGCACACAGGTACCTCAGGGTACTATTGCTTCTGCCAATTCAAGAGGCTACTTTATACAAGATCTTAGCTCCAATCTGCAAAATTTATCTATTAAACATTCGCATCCACACAGTCTAAGATCTTCAATAAGTATAATGCCCAATGGACAAAGCAAATTGTTATCAACAGGTGAGGCGCGAGGATACTGGTGAGACACGCTCCTGGAGTGCAATGCTTAGATAGAGGCTTTAAACCAATTTGGCTGATGGTTTTATTTGAATGAACCTGCAGCAAAATGAGGTCACCGACTTGAATGGTGTTCTCAAGAGTTTCGAAATTTAATTCCTTAAATTAATTATTAACACTCTTCATACAGAAGAGCCCTCGCTTCATTTACTTTCTCTTCTTTGGGAACCTTGTAACTCTGTGCCTCAAGTGGATTTTTGTCTTCTTCAGGTTGAGAAGTTGGCAAATTGGAAAAAGCAGCACAAGGAAAAGTAACCTTGGTGTGGAAACCCCTGACGTACAGGTGAGGTAACCATTCCCCCTCATCTCCTTCAGGCCCTCGGAGGCCCAGAGGGAAAGGCAAGCGTTAGAGAGGCTGGGCATGAAATCTATAGGCGACATAGTGGTGCGAGATGCGTGTGTGTGTGTGTGTGTGTGTGTGTGTGTTAGGGAGGGGAGCTTAGGGAGGTGGGCAGAGTTTGTCGACTGAAAGCAGGACACCTGGATTCTACCCAGTGCTGCAGCCGACACACTGGGGAGCTGTGACCAATCGTGTCCAGTCTCTCTGGTTCTCAGTGTTTTCCTCCGTCAACTGTGGCTGAGGTGGCTGGGTTCCATAATCTCTTTTGTCCTACCAAAGATACTCTGGAATCTACTCAAACACACACACACACACACACACACACACACACACACACACACACACACGACCACCTGGAACAGGGTAGGATTGCCCAAGGTGGTGGCTTGAAGAGTCTGAACACAAAGCCACACCCCAGCAGGGGTCTGGGAGGGAGGCAGCATGGGGTCAAGGTGGGCACCTTCCTGGACAGGAGGGCAGCTGGGCTGTGCGCAAAGCCTCCACAGCTGGGTTTCTCCTGTGACGCCAGGTGGTCACAGAGCCCACATGTCTGTAAACGTCCATTCATCACAGAGAGATGCAGGGTTCCACAGAACACAGAGTTCTGCCCATCTTTTAGAAACTGATGTTTCTAACACCGAGGACTGCTACCTTCGTAAGAGGACTTGGAGTGAAATAAACACGATGTGGGTGTAACGCCTGGATAACAGATCAGGCTAATGACGGCACACAGCAGGTCTGGCATTAGTATAATCAGCTTCAACTCCCAGTAAGTAGATAAATCCTATCTGTATTGTGGATGACATAGTTGTCTTCATAATGAAGATGTGTAAGGATTAGAGATAAGCGGTCATCCTTCACCCCCACTTCCTTTGACATTCCCCATTCACGAATTCTTCTGTTCTATAAAGCAACTAGTCAAATGCTCTCAGAAATGAGATGTGGCTCTCCTCTTTTGAAGAGTTATTCTAGAAAACAGAATCTTAAAACTAGACAGTTTTTGTTTGCTCACGTGACCCTCGCTCTTCCCGTGGTAAGAGTGGGTACCACACATGCACACCTGTCGGGAGGATGCGCCTTCAGCACCCCACCCCACCCCACCCTTGCAGCACGGGCTGTCCTTGCAGAATGCCTGTCGTGCCATGGATTTAGCTGCAGCTGGGGCGGAATTGCAGGGGAAGCATTATATAATTAGACGATGATTATTCTGGCATTGCATAATAAAGAGCCTCATTTTCCCAGTGACAGTCGCCTGCCTGCCTCTGGGGTGCTGGTAGAGGCTTTAGTGGTCCTTGAATGCCCTGGGGGGGCGGTCATGGTCTGGGGCAGGGGGTTGGAGGTTGGAGGCAGAGTGTGTGACTCAGGGAGAGTCAAACCCTGGGCACACCCCACTCCTCCAACAAAGGGGAGGAATCCGGAGAGTTGAGGCAGAACAGCCAAAAAGCAACAGAAGCAGCAGACCATTTAGCCCTCCTCTGGCTCTCTCCGCTGGAGAACTCCCGTCTTCCCCCATCTCACACACACACACACACACACACACACACACACACACACACACACACACACGTCACCCCACAGGCCCCCTCCGCACACGGGGCTGCTATCATGCTGGTTGCTCAGGGCTGGGAAGAGAGGTTCTTTGCCAGCCAAGCTTCCGCTGGCTGAGGAGTAAGGAGATGGGTGTGCTGGGCAAACCCTCCTTCCGGGCCACTGCCTGCTGAGCCAAGTCCATTCGCCATTTGCACACTGACTGGTACTGGGAACTGGAGCCTTTACCCCAGGCAGCTTCAGTCAGTGAGGAGAGAAAGTCCTGGGACGTGCACAGGGTTAGGCCCTCGGGAATTTTCCAAGTTCTCAGTCTGATGAACCTTTTAAGGCTCTGGCTCTAAGCAGATTTCTTCATTAGCAAATACCCAGAAGCCCTTTCTGTAAGCCCTCATGCTGACTGGCTGGGAATGTTTAGTTCAAGCTGCCAGCGCGACCTCCACCCACTCCCTCTGACATGTGGTGTGTGTGCCATCACACTGAACGTTGCCCAAGGAAACCACAATTACCTGAAGTAAAAGGAGAAAATTACCCATCAAAGCAATGAAGTATCTGTTCATGTTTTTGTAGGTATGACACAGTAAAAGATTTAAACCAAATGAAATCTTTCTTTTTCTAATTCTATTCATTGAGAAAACATTTTTTTAAAAGCACAAAGCCTTTTTACCCTCAATTAAAAACAGTAGAGACCTCCATCAATGCAGAATGATAAGAATCATTAATTTCTGAAGTAAAGGCAATGTGCTTTTCTTGAAAAATTCTATGAAGTTCTCTGGAGCTAACAAATATGTGGATACAAAGAAACCAAGGGATTTAATTATTTACATAGGCAAAAGTCTTTGGCAATATTCCTCGAGAAACTGTTAAAATACCTATTATAAATTCCCACTGTCTGAGGTCCTTCTTAATTACTTTCCCTTCTAAGAAAGTGACTGTTCCTTAAAGCTCTATGCCCACCCAAAAGCAGCTTCCCTGAGCAGGCGAGCCCCAGAAGGACTTGCCTCTGTGGTTTATGCCAATATCCTTTCCTCCCAGGGGACTGAGAATGGCAGAGAGAACATCAATATAAAAGGGTTTGGTCCCCTTTGAACGCAAATTCAGAAGTCAAGATAAAAAGAAGTATACGCATCCCAGTGAGATGCCTTCTCATTTCTTGCTGAGTCTGAACCCCTCCTGACCTTGCAGTTGGCCAGGGGGGGAAGCCAGGCTGAGACTTTCTGGCATCCTAGGGCCTCGAGCCACTGAGGACCATAGTTTGGGGACAGCCTCAATAGTCCACTCCTCTTTCTCTGCTTGAGGGGGGCAAGCTGAAAAACTCAGGGTCCAGAGAGTATACCGGAGTGGAGCCTGAGCCAACCAGGCCTGAGCTGGGACCTTGGCATTCATTCCAAGATGCTCCAGAAGCAGAACGTCCCACAGCCCAGAGCTCTGGCCAGACCCTCAGACAAACCCATCCAGGAGCGAGCACCAGAGAGCAGCCTGCTTTTAAAGCACCCTGCACCTGCCCAGGGACCCGAAATCAGCCTCTCACGGATACTTCATGCTTGGAGGCCACAAGCGGGCTTCATGAAATCGCTATCGCAAGGTTACATAGCAATCACTATGGTTAGCGTCATAAGCATGCCCACTGGCTTGCCCCTATCCATAACCATCCGTGGAGGAATTCACACACGCTGAAAGCAGCGAGCAGAAAGTAATCCCGCAAGGCTCCTCTTAATCTCGATCTGATTGTACAAAAATTAAACAGTACTTTTCCCAGGATATGATTTTAAAGCTGCTGTAAATAGTGGAAAGTACTGCCAAAGTAAGAAACACTTCTAATTTATTTCATAGTAACCAAGGGCTCCCAGTGTAGATCCTTCCTGCTGTACCGGCTGCTGCTGCTCGTGGAACGGTGTCCCAGGCCCTGTGACTGGGCCCGGAGCTGTGAGCGGGACCGGCTCCTCTGGAGCTGCCGCCCCGGGCCCGTCGGGTCTGGCCACTTACCGGAGCTTAAACTGCGAGCGGACCTCCCCATGCTCGATCTGGATCAGTTCGTTGTAGCAGGCGATGATGCTGCTGTTCTCCACAAACCTCTGGGAGGAAAAAGTAAGACAGATGCAATTACTTCCTTCGGAGTCAAATAAAGAAGCTGAACCGTTTTTCCCTACCCAAGTTGCCCTGTGACAGAAGACAACTAGCGGATAAGATGAAATCAAACAGTTGTCACGGTGTTTGAAACGCTTGCTTAAACACAGCACGGGCTATTGTACGCTTAACTCCGTTTGTGACAAAGGTAGGGAAAACTTCACGGTGCATACTGACAGGAAAACAAATGCAGCCTTGCTAATTGCAGAAACACCTGTGCTTTCTATTGCACTAGTAAAAGTCTTCTCAGGGGGTGGGGGTGGCCAAGGAGAGGTCCCTGGGGGGAAAAGGAGGCATGTGTAATTCCATATATAATACTTTAAACAATCCTATCTAATAAAAAGGGCAATATGCAAATTAACCATCAATCCATCACAAAGATGCCGCCGCCCATAGCCACAAGATGGTGGCGCCCAGTCCTCTCAGCCCCCCAGTCCCAAGGGGGGGGGGGGAGGAAGAATGGGGGGGGGCGCGGCCGCTGAGAGCAGGCAGTGAGAACAGCCTGGTGGATCACTGCGGCCACAAGGCAAGCGTTTCTGTCTAGCTGCGGATGGGCCTCAGGCCACGGAGAGCCTCTGGGCAGTGAGTGTGAAGCAGCCAGGCCCTGCAGACAGCTACTGGTGCACAGATTTGTGCGCAGGGCTCCTCGTAAAGGACAAAAGAAGTAAAAGTCTTCTAACACACAACACTGGATGTGTTTGGTGTGAGCCACACTGCAAATGGTCTCGAGGGGAGAGGCCCTTCTTCGCTTTCTTCCCTCTCTTCCCTCCTCTCCCCTCTCCTCCTCCCCCCTCTTCCCTGTCCTCCAACCCCCCGCCCCTGCCCCCAAACACACACACACACACACACACACACACACACACACACACACTTCCGCTATCTAGTGGATGGCTTCTCCTTGGGGAGCGCCTGGAAGCAGGAAGGGCGGAGGAAAGGGGGATTCCGCCACACACACAGGAGGAGACACTGTCCCTTCCTCTGGCGAAGTTAAACACGTTGGGTTTAGGATGAACTCCTGGACGGGCCGCGATGGTCCATGTCTAATTATACACGTGACACACATTAATTTTACAGAGTGTAACACACAGAAAACACAAAGGGAGGTCCCCACATCCCTGACAGGATCACAGGCTCCAGCTGTTAATTTTGGCTTTCTTTCAGCGTGTTGTGTTTGTATGTTCCGTGTGATATTTCCACTTTCCTATCTAAGAAATCATTTTTTTAATATTTCACGTTTCTTTAAGTCTAAGAACTTCCACTGCAATGACACACAGCTCTCTGCAGGGGACGGTGTCTAAGCCCCGGAGCACTCTGTACATACTTGGTGCTTAGTGAGTGTTTTGTGGACAAAAGATAATGGAAGACGCCAGTGCCTCATCTTTCAGGCATTTTCAAAAGTGTCATGAACCCCTCTCCCTGGAGTGATTTGAGTGAATGAAAAGCAGTGGCCTTCTCCTGGGCCTGCGGTTAAACAGCCGGGCTCCTGGGCCACCGGCAGAAATGTGGGCGCTTCTTCAGCATCGGCCCCTCAGGAGGCCCGGGCGCTGAGCTGCTGACTCGGGCTGTGCGTGCTCAGGACCAGGGGCCTCACCGGTTTCCCAAATGACCTGGCCACAGCAGCCTTGGCCAAGGAACACCCACTAAGAGCGTTTGGCCCACTAGTGTGCCCAGACAGTTTGAAAAACACTATGTAAGCGGGCCCCGCAGGGAGCTGGCATTTTGACGCTGCAGTGAGTATGAGCTGTGGCAAGCGATTTCACCTGTCTTCTCTTCTGCAAAAACGAAGGACATCCCAGCCTCTCATCTGTAGACGGGGATGAAACAAGCTGCCCGGAATGGAGCCGAACCGATAATAAATCTGAGCTGTTCCTTTCTCCTCAAAAGCCGCCCAGGGAGGAGCCTCGCCCAGCATCGCACATGTCAAATACAAAGAGGGACACAGCGGCTGATACACAAACAGCCGCCCTCGCCCTTCCGAAGGCACTGGTTCCTAGCCTCAGAGGGCTCGGGACAGCATGCTCGGCCCTCACGGGCAGCGTGAGGCTCTGAGAGCGGCTGTGGGGTGTTCACGGCACCGACTGTTCCTGGGTCCCTAACGCAGGGACCCAGGGTCCGAAGCGCCGACCCATCGGCTAGCAACACAGGCCGCGTCTCACCAGACGGTTTCATACAATCAAAACAGCTCAGAGGTGGGGAACCACCTCATGGAAGGCAGACTCGCTGGCATGCTTGGGTGGGTGGCTGGGTGGAGTGTTGCCAACTACAAGGTTTTGCCCAGAAAAGGAGGGCAGCCACCTGGAGAGCAACCGCAGCTGATCTCGTTCTACAGAAACTCAGGAGGGAAAGCATTGGTGGAGGCGAAGTGCTGCCCTTGGAAAACACCCCAATGATGTGGGGGCACCTGACCCGCTGGCAAAGGCCCCGCTCAGACCGGCACGAAGAACACAGGTGTCCACGCCAGGCCTCCTGTTTCCTGCTCCCTCTGTGGGCCTCCTTCAGCCAGGCGGACGGCAGAAAGCATCTCCGTATCCAGACGGAGGGCGACGGGCCCTTCCAGAGCAGCCCAGGCAGGTTACAAAGCTCGTGCAAAGGAACAACGGAACTTTCCCTCCTAAATTTGCCGCATCACGTGGCCCCGTGGCTCTCCCTAAGCTTTCCCGGGAGTAGATGTGCCATTCCCAGCATCACTCCGGATGACAATCCACACCCGTCACAGGCAGGCACACTGCTGAGGGCGAAATTCCAGAAGGACATGCGACAGCAGCTACCGGGGGCCTGGAGGATGTCACCCACAGGGTGCTGCTGCTGTCCTTAGTAATGCAGGGTGTGTGTGTGTGTGAGTGTGTGTGTGTGAGTGTGAGTGTGTGTGTGAGTGTGTGAGTGTGAGTGTGTGTGTGAGTGTGTGTGTTATGTGGGTGTGTGTGTGTGAGTGTGTGTGCTAGTGTGTGAGTGTGTGAGTGTGTGTGTGTGTGTGTGTGTGTGAGTGTGAGTGTGTGTGTGAGTGTGTGTGTGTCAGTGTGTGTGTGTGTGTGTGTGTGTGGATGTGTGTGTGTGTGAGTGTGTGTGTGTTGTGTGTGTGTGTCAGTGTGTGTGTGTGTGTGTAGGAGAACCTGCGTGCTCACACTCCAAGAGCTCCTGCCTCAGGCCTCCAGGGCCATGCAGGCCTGGGGTGCAGTGAGTGTTCACTCCCCATAAAACCTATGGGTGATTTTAGGTTATTTCTCAGGAAATGATCATTGTTCAGTGGAGAAAGAAGACTCAGGCTTCTCAACCAGCATTCCTCTTGCAGATCTCAGAAGCACTGCTCTGCACGCTCAGACACAGCGTGGAGAACCACTGAGGTGAGCGATACCACGAACGAGAAACACTCATCCCTAGGACAGGAGTGAGCCCCTGAACTACTTGCCTGTTTCACAGGGCACTCTGCTCCACACCGAAGCAAAGAACCACCGAAGCACAAAACCGCTGCCGTGGCGATTTCTCCCTTTCTGCCTCAGTCTACCACGAAGACAGGGTTAAACTAGGGGCTGCAAGGAACCACCTTAAAGCGCCCAAAGGAACCTCCACAGCTCACAGGCACGAGCCATGTCCTATTGCTGAAGGAAAGGATGCAGGGCTGCATCTCTGTGAGACTCGGATTACTCCCATCGGGAGACCAGGAGACCCAGGGAAGCCTGGCTTTGGTGTGCGGTGAGTCTCCTTGCAGTCATCAATCTTCACTGTTCAGTGGAACAGCCGTTTAACTCACGGAGTCACTCAAACAACACGATTTAAACCAGGCGCTCACAGGATGCGGTGGCCGTCCCGGGCCCGTCCCTGGCCACACGCTCTGACCAGGCCCTGACCAACACGAGGCCTGGGTGCCCACGTAGTGGTCTCGCCTACATATAATCACATGCACACAATGAATCTAGCCAACTGGACTAAACGAGAGGACCTTGGGACTACAGAATGTTGACCTATGATGTGTTTTTATGTCATTACGCATCACTAGCTAAGATATATGAAGTTATGAGAGAAAAAGGAAAAGAAATCAGACTAACAGTTGCCCGTAACCATCCCACATGAACAGTTCCTTTTCCCCTTCCTCCCTTCCTCCCTCACTCCCCCACCCCGGGGCTTAGGGTCATGCATGGACGCTGGCTGTGCTGGGCGGGAGAGTTAGGAGAAGGTGCCTGCACAGAGGGAGGTGCTGGCCCACGTCTACGTACCCTGCTGAAGCCTGCGTGCAGAAGAGGGAGGACGGAGGCCTCTTCGTGGTCGCCCGATCTGCAGCGAAGCAGAAAAGGTGGTCACTCGGCAGATACAAACCAGGCTTCCTCACACTGAGCCGTGGAGAGAGAGCAGTGAGGCGAGCGTGGCGCTGGCTCTCGGAGTGGCTTCCCGACCAGCATGTGCCCACGGGTACACCTGCCTTCAAGGGCCCTGACTCCCACACTGACCTCCCGATGCAGAAAGCACAGGATGGAGAAGAAAACGCCTGCCGTGAGCCTGAGAGCATGGCTGCAGGCCACGGGAGTGGCTGTCCCCCACACTAGCTGCCGCTGGAGTTGGAGCAAGCGGATGGGGCGGTCCCACGAAGGGACAAGTAGGTGCAATGCTTGTCCCAGAGAGACTGTCCTCTTTGCCATCCTCAACCCCTCTGAACACACAACTCCCACCCCCTAGACCTCGCTGGGTCCAACTCTCAACTCGAGGAAGGCAACAGGCATAAGCTGCCGCAGCCAATAGCCAAATGGGCAAGCTGTGTCATGGGGAATGCCGAGTTAGAAAGGAAGAAGAGAAAACAAAAATTGGTCACTGTCACTCATTTCAGGGGAAGGTTTCCTATACTGAGTCTACAGCTGGGTCTCAGAACACCAGTCTGAGCACAAGGTGTGGGTGTGGGTTACCACGAGACAGGCAGGGCTGTCATCGTTACGATAGAGAAGAGGCTTCCTCAAGACAGCCAGAAAGCAACGTGGAGACCACATCTTGGAAACGGGAGAAACATGGAAGAGAGGGGGTTGGAGGGAGGAGCAGACAGACAATAGGAAAGGAAACCCAGTGCTTATCTGGGTCATGACTTGTAGCTGAGCCCGTCCTGCAGGGAGGGGCCGCCTTCCCTTGCTCCTTCTCTTGGGACTCAGGGTTCTCCTTGGCTGACTGATAAATCAGGACGGGCACAAAATGGGTTCTAGAGGTTATGGATAATGCCCTATGTCATATGCTGAGTGGGACAAGCTCAGAATTCATGTTTATTATTGCTCTCTCTATGAAATATTTTATTAAAACATGGGGGGGGGTGAGAAAAGAGGCTTGGGGAGCACTGTGGGGCCTGGTGCATGTGGTGTCCACGCCCAGGACCCCAGAGGCCCTCCCCACCTCCCCCCAGATAAAACACGAGCCAAAGGGCTGAACAAGGACGACTGCACATCTTCGCTCTCCTCCTCGTTCCCCTCGAGGCCCCAGCCCCCACCAGGATGGTGGAGTGGAGAGCAACCACTGGGACAATTTCTGCACTTTCCTTGCCCCACAGCCCGTGGCAGGGATCAGTGAAAAGACACAGCTCTGGACAAGAGACTCAGGGAGCACCAGGTCAGTAGAAGTCTTTGGTTAGGCCAACATTTTGAAGCCAGGACATGGCTCTGGAATGGAGTGTTTCCGCTCTCCCCTGTCCCGGGCTGGCCCGGGGGAGGGCCTAAACCCTCCCGAGTTGCTGGTTTGTCAGGAGATCAAGGCCCTAATGAAGGTCTTACTCTCTCCGAAGCTCGCAATGGCCATTACTTGACTCTAACATTTGATACCTGCAGAGATTCCAACCACTGCAGCTTGTATGAACAACTTTTACCTTCTAGATCCTTCATTCTAAGTGCTGGCCATTTCAGACAATGAACCCAGCAGAGCAGTTTCTCAGCCCACAATCTCGTACCTACAGCTTAATTCCTCTTTCCTGCCTTCCAACACTGGCATGCATCCTAGTCCTGCTTCCCGCCACAGAACTGTCCCAAAACGTGAACGGCACATCCCTTTCCTTGCAGTGGATTTAGTGCCTCTTTGTCCTCACACTACCATTGGTTTCCTCTGACGTGAAAAACAAGCATTCTTTTTTCCCCTCTCCCATCTCTTTTCCTTAAAGGAAATAAAAACGGGTAAGCTGGAATCGTGTTCTTTCCAGATCTCCTCCTTCACACATTTTGCATTCATTTCCAGCATCTAATGAAGTAACCATTTTTTCCCCCTTAGGTGAGTATGTTGCAGAAGCAATTCGATGTGATAGGGAGAAAACCTAAATATTTCCAGACACGTGCAAAACAACAAAACAGAAAACCCCAAAGCAAGATCTAAGGTTGCTGTGATGGGGCCAAGGACATGCCCGTTGTTTTTCCAGCCCCGAGACTGGATGACATCAGGCAGATGTCTCAGGGAGAATGGGACGGCTTCCAGCAGGGGCGGGAGGCGAGCTTACGCTTGTGAAACCACCGCCAGGATCACCGTGTGCTCCGCGAGGTTTGTGGCTCGGATCGACCTGCAACAAGAAGGTGCCCAGTCAAACCAGGTGACCTCGCTGTGCGGCATCCAACCCCCATGCATCTGGGAACAGCACATCAGGTCTTCCTCCGAAGAGCAGCTCTGCGGTGCGCCGGGAACTCGCACAGGATTGAATGTTAACTGCAAAGGAGCCACTCTAACAAAGCACCACGTGGATGCAAGATGTTCATGAGAGAAGCTGGAGGGTAGGGGTAGTTAGGACTGCAGGAACAGTCTGGACCCTGCACAATTTTCCTGTAAACCTGAAACGTCTTTAATAAACAGAGCTATTAAACTAACAGAACAACAACAACAAAACACACACACACACACACACACACACACACACACACACACACACACAGAAAAAGTCCATGTGAAAGACAACAAAGAAAGATGTCCTTGTGGATCAGGACAATCTCTTCGTGTTATTAAAAAAAAATTTTTTTTTTTAATTCCCAGGCAATTATCCAATAGGTCAGATCTGCCAATTTTCCACTTCAACAACTATCAAATCCCACTTACATTCCATGTTTTCTGACTGAAATTCTACTCTGTAAAAAAAAAAAAAAAACCAAAAAAAAAACCCAAAAACTGGCAGTCCTACAATTCTCTGGTTATTAGTTTGTACTTGGGGAGGTAATTGGGTTGGATCTTTTTTCTTTTAAAATAGTAGTTCAGAAAAAAAATGAAAGTACTTGCTGACAGCTGGATAGACAAATGCAGACTAAAATGTATTAAATGGTACACAGACCCACCCCAATTTCCCAGTTGTGCTGTTGTTTGTTCTCCGGTACTTTAAGTGACCCGGGCTGAGAAATGTTGCAATATGGCAACTGTCACCACCTCTGTATTGTTTAGTCCCTAGAAATTTAACGGGATTAAGGCATGTACGGATGTAGACTTTAGAGGTCGGTGAGTCTTCTTAGAAAATGTGTTTTGAATGGTACAGCTCAGATTCTGTATTATTCTGGTCAGGGGTCATGAAATGGGTGAACTTTTTAAAAAAATCCTCAGCCAAGGATATATTTTCCATTGATTATTTTTTAGAGAGAGGGGGAGGGGGAGAGAGAGAGAGAGAGAGAGAGAGAGAGAGAGAGAGAGAGAGAAGAGAAGAGAAGAGAAGAGAAGAGAAGAGAAGAGAAGAGAAGAGAAGAGAAGAGAAGAGAAGAGAAGAGAAGAGAAGAGAAGAGAAGAGAAGAGAAGAGAAGAGAAGAGAAGAGAGAGAGAAGAGAGCGATATCAACCTGAGAGAGACATCAATTTGGCACCGGTAAGGAACCTCTAACCTACGTACATGCCCTTGACCAGAAATTGAACCCGAGACCCTTCAGTCCTAGGGCCGCCACTTTAACTGTTGAACCAAATCGACTAGGGCTGGGTGAGCTTTTAATAAAGTGCCGCCTACTCAGACCTTGATACAAATATGAATGCGTGATCTGACCCATTCTTGGCTCCGGCCCCTGGTTACTTTAATGTGGCCCAAAAGAGAGCCATCATCTTCCAGAACAGAAGCGTCGGGGCTGCTCCCGAATAATTTGTGAAACAAGATACATTCAACATGTTTTCTTTCTCGCTACTGGGGTTTCAGGTCCTCTCCATGTCAACATGTTTGCAGGACTGCTCTTCCAGGGAGAGCCAGCTCAGACTGCTTGATCCTTTTCGTCTCCAGAATTTCTTAACCTTTTTCAAAAATGTACCTTCCCCGTTTCCTATTCCTTGAGGCCTTCCTCTATGTGGATAGAAGACTTGAGAAAATGACCAGCTGCCGTCTTCCTGGGAAGTGCAGGCTCCCCTGGTGCATAACTAGTTGATGGTAAATACCTTTGCCAACAGCGCCTGACCTCCCTGTGCGGCACTAATAGCCTCCAATGTGAGCACAGACTTCCCAGGCAGCACACAGGACAGTCCTGACGAAGTGAAGCTACCCGTATTTTCTACCTAGTAGCCTACTGAATTCTCAGCAGAAGTACCACTTAGCACTTAATGAAAAACAAACAAACAAACAAACAAACAAACAAACAAACAAAAAACAGCATGAGCTCTAATCTCAGGAAACTCCAAGCACTTCTCACCTTTCATTCTCTTCCTCCCCAGTGAGGCACCAAGCATACCTTCTGCGCTATATTCAAAGGAGTGGGCCATAGGCAAGAGGCTCAAACTCTGCTAGGAACATAACTGGACTGGAGCACACACTCTAAGCTTCGCTTCTCTGAGACTGGCTTCCGGTTTGGGGGTTGCTTCCTGCTGCTTCCCTCTTCCCTCTCAGTCTCCAGAGGAACTGGTGTGGTCAGAGGCACCTGGACCTCTTCCCGGTTGAGAGGACTAAGGAGGGGCCTGGGGATCCACAGGGCAGGGCTCCAAGGAGTGTGTGAAGCTAAGATCCAGTCTAGCTTGAAAGCCAGGGGTCCTGGGCCACAGGTGACAACAGAGGGCACATTTGCTGGGAGCATGTCCCCAGCTCATCTTAGGGAACAGGTCCTGGAGGTCAGGCAGTCAGGAATCGGGGACCCTCAAGGTGACCAGTGACAGCGGTAAGCCTGCCAGCAGGTACACACCCAGCTTCTGCACTGTATAGACCCCATTGCTTTTCTGTGCCGCCAAGACGGACGTACACGTATTAGGGAACAGAACTCCATTTCTTTCTATCCCAGAAAGATTGTAATGCCATGCTGCTAAAATGGGTCTTTGCCTGAATTAAAAGAAGTCTTCCCATTAATTCCTTCCTTTTACACCTGAAGCTCTTAAATCAATCTATGTATGCACGAAGGACTGTAGTGTCTAGCACAAAATCAGTCAAGACAAGGGAAAGAAGACAAACTTAATTATCAAGAACCCAGTTCTATCCTGAAAAATCACTTAAAAAGGAGAAATGCTCCTAATCACCAAAAATATCCTCCAAATAGTTGATGATACATCTTATTTATGAATATATATAATAGTCAGGCAAATATTCCTACGCAGGAAGATAAAATAACTTGAGACCAATAAGACATTTTAAAATGGGTTCCTTAAGGAAAACGCTTTGGGAAACGGAAAACTGTCAAAGACTAGCAAAGCGATGCCCGAGATGAGAAGCTTCCTCTCGTTTCTCGTCAGGGTACCCACGGCTCTAAGAGGCCATACCCCTACCTTTTACGCCATTTATTATTTTCAAGAAAATTCCAGCTCTATATGTGACTGGAGTCCGCCCTGGCCTAGCATTTAATTAGTGACCTCTTCCTGTCTCGCTTCAAAGCATTCCACTTCTGCTACAGGGATCGGTTCATCCAGCGCGAACTCTGAGGGCTGCGTTTATTTATGATCAGGCATGCGTTTCCTCCCCGAAGCAAGCGTTTCTGTAAACAAGTGGGGGTGTGGGTCCCGGGAAGATTCTCTCCAGCTGCAAAGTAGCTGCTTTCGCCCAGTGACTGCTATCGGATCCACCCGTCTGTGTCAGGCAAGGGAAAATGTATATTTCACACATTTCTGATGCTCATTTTGGTGCAGGATAATAAGACTAGAGTATCTGGTTTACATCCAAACCCTATCTGTGTAATAAAAACTGTGTGAATTTTTGTGTGTGCGTGTGTGTGTGTGTGTGTGTGTGTGTGTGTGTGAGAGAGAGAGAGAGAGAGGGAGAGAGGGAGAGAGAGGGAGAGAAAAACATGAGCAAAAACTCGGGGTAAGGAAGAAGGAATCCTGCAGTTTTCAGTAGCACCCATCTCACACCTCTAAATACACTGGAACTCAAATGCAAAAAAAAAAAAATAAAAAATAGAAAAGGCGTGATAAATCTGTAGGCGGAGCTACAGCTTTCACCACAGAAAGCTGAATAAACTGCTTAGGAACATCAACACATATTTTAGAAACCTATGAGATGGAACTAAAGACACCTACAAATGAACTCATTTCAGGCTAAGTGGACATCTACTAAGCACATGAGATTAAGGAAGGAAAGTACCTGCACACAGCCTCTGCGTTGAAGTTCCGAGCATGTCTGTGATCGATCACAATAATTTCATGATGTTTATCCAGAAAGCATTCAAGGGCTGACTCTGGAGTCCGGGCGATATTGCATCTGAAGCCGGCTCTGTCACAGGCCCACCAGAATCCATCACTTTGACTGTCCTCCTTGGCAAAGATCAGTAAAACCTGGAACACAGATAGAAGCACCTTAACAGCAGTCATCCTCCTTAGAGACGGCATCAAAAACAAGCCTCTGGAGGGAAGCTGCCTGGGTTCGAATCCCAGCTCCTCCAACAGCTTCCAGTGTGTCTCTGAACAAGCATTTCCTCTCGGGGCCCACAGCTCTCCTCTGCCAGGTGTGAGAGCAGCAGCACCATGCAGCCTGTGGAGAGACTTGAATGAGCACGGAATAGGTGCTCAGTCACGCTGCTGGTGGTTATTTACTTTTAATTTCCCAAGAGGCTTTGTTTTTAAGTAGATAAGGCAGTGAAATGATGAACAGGATACTCAGCACAGGTTAGACCCTGGCACCTCTTGGGCTCTGGTGCAGGTGGTGTTTGCCTTATGGCATCTGGAGGCCACCTCTCTGAACTTGGGACTTAAACCCATATAAAGATATAAGAAAGGTAAGGGATTCAAAACAACCTGGAAAACTAATTCTAACACCAACTCTTGCCGTAATATGGAATGAATAATCATGAACTGTGAAAGTGATGGAGCCAACCTGGGCGCAGTCCCAGCAATGAAAAGAAGGAGGCAGTTCTGCACACCGTGCTCCCCTCTTCCTCCCTGGGCTCTGGGACCCAGATTCTCTGGCCGCCAGAGGCAGCCTTACCCTCACCTGAACTTGTTCATTTGTTTACTTGCTTATAGTCTATCTTCTCCACTAGAATTGAACTTTGGGTCAGCAAAGAACTTCCTAATCTCCTTCCCTGCTATACCCCCGTGCCTGCAATGGGCTGGCACTTAGTACTAGCTGCTCAGTAAATATTTGATGGAGAAAGGATAACTACTTGCAGGGGTTTCTGCAAAATGCAAGAGGTATTTACTATCAGTAGGAACAAGACTTTATCCCAGCAACAGGTCCAATTAAAAAAACCACATATGGTACCATTTGCCAACCACACACAAGCACAGATGAAGTTAAGAGACTAAATCTCATTTTGGTACAACAGCATAAAGCTGATGAATGCTCTATTGAGAGACTCCGCTAAGACCTAAATGCTCAGCCTTTAAAAGCCCTCAAAATGAAGGTCATGCCTTGGCTGGGGTAGTTCGGTTGGTTGGGCATCGTCTCGTGCACCAAAAGGTTGGTTTGATTTCTGGTCAGGGCCCATGCCCAGGTTGTAGGTTTGACCCCTGGTAGGGGGGCATGCAGGAGGCAGCTGATTAAGGTTCTGCTCTCATATCTGTTTCTCGTTCTTTTTCCCTCCCCCCCCCCCCCCCGCTTCTAAAAATCAATAACAAATAAAAGAGATCCTAGTGTGTGCTCTTGCTCCTCTGGAACACACCCACCCCTTCTCCTCCCTCTCTCCTTCCCCACAACCATGCATCTCCTAAACTCATGAACATGGACAACAGTGTGTGGTGACCGCAGGGCGTGGGTGAAGGTGGAAGAGGGGATAAACGGTGATGGAAAAAATATAATTAAAATTTTAAAAACCCACAATACAGTTCGCACCTAAACCTCTCCAATAATTCCTTACCGTCATGAAATACTTGGCTGTATCATCAATGTCATTAGTTTTACACTGAATCACTTCCTGTTTCCTGAAAGCCATGTTTTCAGCATGACTTTGACATTTCCTTCTTAGCATGTGTCTTGAAATCACAAGGCAGCCACACTTATTAAGGGCCTTCTCTGGGCAAGGGTCAGTCACTCCTCAGTCCCGGGTGCTCCTAAAATCCTTGAGCTACTTCTAGGAAGAAGTGGGAGGTGACTCTTCCAAGAGACGTGAAGGGCACAGCCTTGTGGATTTTGATAGCGAAAGGAAACCCTTCACATGCAATCACTACTGAGGGAGCTGCAGTGAACAAAGCCGGGCAGAATAAACTGCTTCGTGCAAAAAGGCAATAGCCCTTTACTTGTGGAGCTGTGCTATTAGCATGAGAAACTTGATATGCAGAGCCTAAAAGTCAGAAGCGGTGACAAAACTTCTTGGCTCAGTGGTCTGGCTGATTTATGGATTGCTAAGCAAGAGACCAGTGCTTTATGCTTCCTTTATACCACTGTGCCTCATATTTGACTAACCCAATAAGAACACAACCACCTTCCCATGTTGGGCATCATCACAGGTATTAACTTTACAGGTCTTACGCGTTCTTAAAAAACTGTAGAGTCCCACTTTCAGAACAATAATGTCATCATTCAGCTAATATTTCCTGAGTGCCTACTCTGTCAGACACTGTTTTTAATTGCTTAGAGTATGCCCACGAATGAAATAAAGATCCTTTTCAGTGTAGTGGTGGATGGACAAGCAATAAACAATGGTACAATAATTAAGCACATGGTATGGATTATTGAAAGTGGTAAGTGATGTGTAAAATCTGTGGAGCAGGGTATGGCTTGTTGGTGGGAAAACAGACTGGTACAGCCACTGTGGAGAACAGTATGGTGTTTCCTCAAAAAACTAAAAATGGAACTCCCATTTGACCTAGTGAGTGATCAGACTTCTAGGACTATATCCTAAGAAACCAGAAACACCATTCAGAAAGGATATATGCACCCCTGTTTGCATATGTTCATAGCAGCACAATTTTTTTATTAATATATTTTATTGATTTTGTACAGAGAGGAAGGGAGAGGGATAGAGAGTTAGAAACATCGATGAGAGTCATCGATCAGCTGCCTCTTGCACACCCCCTACTGGGGATGTGCCCACAACCAAGGTACATGACTTTGACCGGAATCAAACCCAGGACCTTTCAGTCCGTAGGCTGACGCTCTATCCATTGAGCCAAACCGGTTTTGGCCATAGCAGCACAATTTATAATAGCTAAGATTTTATAACAGCCTAAGTGCCCATCAGCAGATGAGTGAATTAAAAAACTGTGGTACATGTACACAATAGAATACTACCCTGCTATAAAAAAGGAATTCTTAACATTTGCAACAGCATGGATGGAACTGGAGACCATTCTGCTAAGTGAAATAAGCCAGTCAAGAGAAAGATAAGTATCACATGATCTCAGTCATTTGTGGAATATAATGAGCACTAAGAATTGATGAAAACAGATCCAGAGATAGAGAAGCATCGATCAGACCATCAAACCTCAGAAGGAAGGCAGGGGAAGGTGGGGGTAAGGGGGAGAAATCAACTAAAGGACTTGTATGCATGCATATAAGCCTAACCAATGGACACAGACACCAGGAGGGTGAGGGCATGAGGAGGGCGGGCAATGGGGCAATAAGGATACATATGTAATATTTTAATCAAAAAAGAAAAAAAAATTAAAAGGAAGACTGGCTTGTTGCTGGCAGGATTAGTAGGTGGTTAGGGCAGGTTTCACTAAGAAAGCAACAGACTAGCAAATGCCTGAAGGAAGCAGAAAAATAAACCAAGTCGATGTCCGAAGGAAAGCATTCCGAGCTGAGGGGACAGTTCCGTGGGCCCAACAGTGGGAAGCTCGCCTGCTGTGCTCAGGAACTGCAGGGAAGCCAGCATGACAGAGGGGCGGATGCGAGGCTGGGAGGGTGGGAAAGAGTCAAGTTCATGGCCCAGGGCTAGATTCTGGTAAGGCCTTATGGGTCATTTTAGGAACGTAATCTGGATTTCACATGGAAACTTACAAGGCTGATTGGAAGTGGGGAGCTGTATTTTTCATGCCTTGTTGTTTTCTGCATTTCTGATGCTTTGATGTCTAGAGCCTGGCTGATCCTGGCCGGCCGGGAATGCACTTTCCATGGCAAACCCATCAGCGCCCCTACCCACCACATCTTTTACCGTGTTCACCGCTCTGCACCACGATGACTCCGGGGCCAGGGCCAGACAGCCAGGGGCCACCCTTAGGCCCCAGACAGCCCTGAGATGACTCAAACCAGCTGAACCTGCTTACCCTGCTGCACCGTTCCTTCCCACAGAAACCACAATGAAGGCTCTTGCCTACATCTCCCTTCGCTCTCTCCCTCTCCACACCAACCCTGCCGCTTCCCACTGCAGTCCTGCTTGCTGTAGTGTGCCCCCTCCTCCTGCCAACTGTGACTGTTCAATAATTCAACTCCTGAGCGAAAGGAAAGTTGTTTCTACGCCTCACTGAATTACAAACTCCTGAGTTCAGGTCGGCTCCCAACGTCGTGTCCTCTGTATTTCTCTTGTCATAAAACACCCCGAGCTCCTTTAGTGAACTCCTGTGCAGTTGTTTTGCTGGCATCACTTCCTGTGACATTTCATCCTTCTGGTCACCACCGTTTTCTTTATTCCAGTAAACTTACTTTGACTAACTCCCTCTAGCGAGCTGTCTAGAATCTCTCAAAGGCAGCAGTTATCAACATGCCCACACTGGACGTGTTTCTCCTCTAACCCCATTTACATTCAATTCAAAAATTCACTTCTGCCACGGTCACTTTTCATTTCTTGGCTGCACATTCACGTTTGTTGGCTAGTCCCCCCTTTGGACGACCTATGTCTGCGCAATGCCGTGGGCATGGTCACGGAGACAGGGTGGCAAGCCCGCACGTCTGCCGTCTGTGCTTGAACTGAGGGAGCAGCTGGGCAGCGACCCATCACAGAGATGCTGAAGAAGATGATGTGATTGGCCGCTGACCACGCTGCACATCTGTTACCTACAGGTCTGTGGGGACGGAAGAGCTAGCAGCAAAGTCCCTGCTTATGCGGTTATTTCTAGTCACAATACCCATGTCCCACAGTTTGAAGCATGCTGTTGGGGGTCTGGTGTTATTAAATTAAACTCTGAAATATGTGCACATTGGAACTGTACAGAGCAAGTGCTACCCACCTAACCATTCTTGAAACGCTTTTCCAACCCAAGTTGGGATGATAAAGGGTAAGGCCAAGAGCATGCAGGGCAGGGCTCTGGTGTGAGAGGCTGCAGACTGCAGGAGACTGGGGGGCTCTCAGGGGCAATCACAGGAACAGGGGCCATGACTCTCAGGAGTTCTCCGACAGGAAGGGACTCCTGGGGTGCTCCATGAACCCCGATTCAACAGGTGAGGATGGTGACTTCCC